CTTAACCTTCTTTCTACCCAATGACGGGATCGTTTGGAATATATTGAAGGTAAAATTATAATTTTACAAAATTCTATTAAATTGAGAATTCGCTCTTTAACAAATGCAGTATGTTATTATTTTGCCATCTACCATTTATTTCAAATACATATCCACATCTATACATTAACACACATATATTTGGAATCACAATATCCATTTGCAGAGAATAACACAACAAGGATTAAAATAACGTATTTGCTTTAAGTTTAAAAATCAAAATAACAAATTGAAAGTCTATAGACTAAATAAGCTATATAAATCTGAAGAGTATTTTCATAAGTATTTTGGTTAAATTATTATTTTAGAAAACTTAATAATAAATTATTTTCAGAAATTTTCCTTTTTCAGCCGTAAACTCGAGAAATTTTATAAATTATAACTAAAAACTTTTAATTTGATGATCTTAAACAATAAATTTAGATAGGCAATGCAATTTATACCATCTATTAAACTTCCTTTAATTCGCTTATTAATTTAAACATAAAATAACGTAGAAAACTCTAAAAAAAAAAATCATTAAATTAACCAAGATAAAGTTTGACGCGATATTTTGATTAATAGAGAAAATGGACTCATGAAAAACTCTCCAGAAACTTAGCAAGAAAAAAAGCATCAGAAAGAAATGAAAAAAGCATCAGAAATCCTGAACCACAGAAACATGGAAGCTGGGCGCGTGATGTAGACAGGTCGTAGAAGCGCGTTGGCGCGTAAGTTGCTCACATCACAATTCCCAAATCCAAAACTCCCTTACTTCTGCTCTGCCCCTTCCCTGTTTCTATTTTCTACACGAATTAACTCTCCTCTTCTTCTCTTCCATTCTCTGATATTTATTTTCCAACCCACTACCAAATTACCAATACCAGAACAGCCATGGTTTTGCTTTCCAATCCCAATACTTTGGTCTTCACCTCACTTTCGTAGCCCTCTGTTCCCACAACCATTTCATGGGCTTTCTCCGGCGGCTCTTCGCTCCAAAAAAGCCCCCCATCGACCCTTCCA